TGTTATTTAGAATTATTATTTATCACGAATTTTTTTAAATTTTTATAAATTATATATTAAATATAGTTTTTCTCGGCTTGGAAAGTTTTTTTGTTTTTTCTTTTAGTTTCGATTTTACGGAATTGTTTATTTAAAAAAAATGTATACTTTTCTATATATATGTAAATAGATTGAATACTACTGATAGCAATATGTCTTGCTATCAATATTCAATCAGGAATACATTAAAAATGAGATATTTTTCTTCTCCAATTGTTTCTTCTTACTTCAGACACGAGTGTTGTCTCGATTTGAAGGCTCATGCAGATTTGAAATTCTGTTGAAGGAGAATCGTCTTCTCGCGATTCCTTTCCTTCGTACTCGCTGTTATATCCCACGCTCGCACGGTATCCTCGCTAGGGATTTCCGATCGGCTTATTTTCCTGGTCCAACGCATGTGGATCGGATGGATGTCATTTCTGTTGTCCTATCCCGCAGATATTCTTCCATCTGCTTTTATCTCGCGTGTCCGCACTTCTCCCGATTTTTCCCTTTCATTCTTCTCGAGCGTATATAGAGAAATATTTAAATATTTAAATATTGTACACGACATTTGTCAACGTGGTCAGAAAAAAAAACAACGCAACTACCTGTGTTTCTGCTGGAAAGAAAACGCGGAAAGTCGATTTTTCAGTCTTAACCGACTCGCTAGGGAAAACGCTAAGTTACGGGGAATGCATTTAGCAAATACTTTTACTAACAAAAGATCCAAAGTTCTATCATGCTGCCATTAGCATTTACTCGATATTTGATTAATCTGTCAAAATGTATCTCGCTATGGATCTGTAAATTATTCAGATATAATATAGATGCAACTCCCATAAACCAGCTAATAGGATTATCACCGTGGAAATATAGTTATTATGTAAATGTAGCATTCCTCTACAAAATCAATGTGAAGAGCTGAAGAAACGAAGATGAAATCATGTGAACGTGAATACAAAATAATATTATCTTATTTTTAGCTGCGAGGAAAGAAGAAGTTTAGATAGAGAGATGATAAAATGAATGATTTGAATGAAAAGCAGAATTATCCTGTTGTGCCTAACTATTATAAATTCACATTTCCCACTTCGAGAAACACACGTACGCTGCCGATGTTATCAAACGTTGATTGACATCCTTTTCCTGTGCCAAGCAGCTCTCGGACGTTCCTCGCCTTCCTATCCTAAGCGATTCATTTAACGGCGGACAAAGAGTCCAGCCATTGTGCTCTCGTTTCGTGCCGGTAGTAGAGACCAGTAGCGAAAATAGAACCTAACCCAAATAAACAGTGACACACGCGAGCTTGATGTTATCTTCAGTAGCAGCTCAGTTAACACGAAGGGACGATGGCGCTTACGACGAAATTTGCGAAAGTAAACTTTTACGAATGACGAGCGTACTCTCTCTCTTTTTAATACTCTGTGTTATCGGCTACTATACGTATACATCTAATATTTCTTCTGGCGTTCTCAATCGAGAGATAAGGATATTTAATTAATTTCCCTTTCTGTCAAACTCTTTACGCGTGCACAAAAGTATATGTTTACAAAATCAAGATAAAGGCTTCTCTTCATTTTTTATAACGTTGTAAAATTATCTTCAGACTTGTTTGTTGCTGTTTGCACAAAGTGATATTTAATAAAATTAATGCAGTACGGATATATATACGAGGAAGGAAGGAAGAAGCATAGCATTTTTAGTCCGAGGAAATATTTCAATCTCGGCTTAAACCGCAACGTGCGCGTACACAGCGTGTATCAGTTGTTTCTGCTCCTTTAAAAGTTTCACTCTTCAGAGCTCATTTAATTTGTTACTATTGAAGCTTTTCATTTTCAACTCCCCACAGTAAATTAAATCCGCCTTCTGCAGCCTTGTACATTTTCTTCGCATCGCGAACATTCTTTCTTACCCTATAATTATGTTGTATTTTTTTTTTTTATTTATAAACTCGAGCTTATTTTAATAATTTTATTTGCGGCGTGTATAAATGGAAAACTTACTTTCGAGTATCTCAAAGTAATCCATTTCGCAGCAAAATTTCTCTGTCCTTACCCTTTCTTCTTTTTCTTTCTTTCTTCGCCGAGATGCCACACTTATGCTGCTTACAGTATATTTACTAGCCAGATCGTAAAGGAAAGGAAAGGGAAGGTTTTTCAGACCGATACATCGGCCTGGGCATCTTAGAGACGAGAACTAGTAAACTCTTTTACGGAAAAGTGTCTCCGATAGTAACGGCCACTAAAAAGCGACCATGCCACTTTGCCACGTACGCTTCTGGCAAAGCCAGACTATTCTCGCGCTAACGTTTCTCCTGAGCACACACTGCTTTCGCGCGCGTGTGTCTACTACTCGAGACAATGTCTTCCCTCCACTCGTTGGAAATGGAAGGCCTCTCGTGCTGTCTGAGAAAGGTAGCATGATCCGCGGGACTCTCTTTATATCACCGAGAAGACATCTTCGCAATATCGCGAGATTCGTCCCTTACGGATATTTTAATTCTAATCTTTATTTACGAAAAGTTAAATTGCCTCTTCTACCCTCTAGGGGTAGAAGAAGCAATTCTTGTCGTCGCGAGTTTTTCACCAGAGAGATGCGCAGTTTTCTTCTAGTCTGACGAAAGAACAGCTCCACTGAAAAATTTCAAATTTTCATTAACAATTTAGACACACAATTAGACTCATTACGTTTCGTTAACTACGATCGCGTTAACGAGACGATTAATTTTAATAAAATGTGAATTTTCCTCTCTCCTGCGAGCGAGCTGTTATTTATAAGACGACTGGATATATTGCAGATGCAATTTTCCGTGAATATCGCGACGCTCGATCTCGGCTCGATGAAAAGCCGCTGGCTTAACTGCTGCTTAGCTGCTGCTCCTCCCGTCATAGCGTCCGTCGGATGCGTCGCGCCGCATTCGATGCACTCGACGCGCCCACCGCGCGGCGCATCCTTCGCGATACGGTTACGGTCGAAACCGGCGCGACGCGGTTAAAACGTCGCATGCGCTTTTCTCCGCCTATGAATAGCAATAGCCGTATTTCCGGTGCGCCGGAAAGAGAGCGCGACACGAGCGAGCTTCTCCCCTCGTCCGGGGAAGCTTTTCACCGTCCCGTCTCGCGAATCTCTCCCGAGATTTCGCGCGAGCGCCGGGGCCTTTTCATCGTTATCCCACCAGGCTCCTTCGGTTCCTTTCGAATGCAGCTCCCGATTCTCCCGATACGAGCAGACAACTTTGCACAATCTGCGAGATTGCGTGCACACAGTTGAGTGCGGCAGCCAACTTTTCCGCGCGGCGCGATGCATTGCGCATAATGCAACAGTCGAAACGCGCGCGTCCACTTATCTGCGTCCACGATCGCGCATCGCGTTAGGAATATAATCATTTCGTGCGATAGATTCGAATACGTGTGGAAAGTAGCGAATAGTATCGGATGATCGTATCGCGACACATTAATCTATGCCAATCGCGAACACGAACGCCATACCTCTCCCGTTGCCGATCCGTCCGTTTTCGCGGAAACGCAGATAAATATTTTCTCCGCCGGGAAAAGGTTTCATCCAATCTAACGATTATTAAATAGTCGCGTTAAAATCATTGACAGTTACTTTCACGTGTATGCGTGCTTCTACCGTCGTTCGGTCCTTCTAACGTCGTTAACAAATGCGCCACCGCATTACCGCGGCCGAAAGTTCCTAATTTCCTAATTTAATACAAAGTTAAATAAAGTCCCGGGACGCGCGTATTTTCTGATTACTTAACGTCGGGTTACTCTCAAGACCTACCTATTTTAGATTACACACGCTCCGAACTCTGAATCGTAGATCGCCTAACGAAAGTACAAATTTCCAATTATTCTCTTAATTGAGAAGTTCCCAGGTTGATCATATTTCTGCATATATTATCTCTTCTTACACCGCTTTTAGCACCGCTTAGTAAGAGAAATAAATCATGTCTATTTCAGAAGTACGAATTATATTTGCAGTCTCAGGGGCTTGTTATTTCATCATTTTTTTCTTACATTCAGTACAAGCAATTTTGAACAGATTTTATTTATTTTTAATATTAAATGATATAAATGTCTGTATCGATAAAATCATACTATATTAATAAAAAAATGCACGAAAAAGAGAGTATTTGTACAATGCCACAATGACTGGACTGCTAAAATTATATTTGTAATGTAACAAATCCACTATTACATTGATATAATATGCAACATTTACAAATTTTTCAATGTAGTAACACAGTATTTTTACTATATTATATTATTAATCAATATAATTTTAGTTTTTATTCTTAATTTATTAAGTGTAAAACGGGATAGAATATTAATAACATTTTATTTGCGGTTGTAGAATGCGAATTTAATGAATTGATCCAAAATTATTCCGAACCTGTCAGACAAAGTATTGAATAAATAAAGAAATGGAAACTTCGACGAGACTGAATATCGTAGATATTTGTTCTCATGTCAGTTTTGACATTTCAGAAACTTGATAGCCAAGAAGATAAAATTTATTTCGCTTGTCATCCTAAGTCAATATGTCAATATGTCAAAAATTACAATGTTAATTAATTGTTCTTAATTCAAAATTATATTGAAACAAGTAGAATCATAACGTATACTTTCTTGTATACACTTTCGAAATTAATGTAATACAAACTGTTATTTTAAATATTTATCAAAATATGTGATACTTATTTGTATATAAAGAAGCGCAATATATTTAATAATATTAATACAATTTTAATATACTCAAATATTCTGAATTTATCAATTAAATTATTAACGAAATTGAGTAAAAGTGATTAAGCGAATTTGAGTAAAAGTTTTAATTTCAAGTACGCAAGTTCTTTTTGAAGATATAGTTCGTAAGTAGAGCAGACTTGCTCGAATTGGAATCTTTCAATATTTCATTGAACTTTAGCTGTTACATTTCCTCTCATTAATATTTCTCTCCTTTTATGATTGCAGATATGAGAATGCGGTGACGTTGGGAAAGAGAGCTCGATCCGAAAATACATATCGTGACATATGCGAATCGTTAATTACGGTAATAAGACTCATATCCAACCTTTAACGTATAACTCGTATATTGATGCAAGACACTTTCTGATATTCTACGCTGGCACAGCGGCGAGAATCAAACGCGACATATCGATTGCCAAACGTATCACGCTACATCATTAAAACTCGCTAGAGTTCCACGTCTGCCACAATATATATCTCGAACTATTACAAAATTAATTTCGCGTAATCTCGAGACTCACTTTGTGCGATCTGCCGCTACGGTGTACGAGAGAAGAGTTTGACCAACTTCGAAGAGTAATCTCACTTGAAACGGACGTTTCACGCGTGTACCCCATCGCGGAAAGAAATCGATGTTGTACGTCGGTCAGTGATCGTCAGTCCTTTCGATTAGGATAAAGAAAACGTTCTTCGAAGTGAGGCTCTCGCCAGTGAAATTCCTGGCGCGGCCACTCGTGAAAGGAAACACGTCTCTCGTGAATCTCCTCTCTTTACTCGGGCGTTTAATTAGCGTCCTCGATCGCGTAGAAAGGAGGAACTAGCCTAGGTGCCCGGTGACCTTTCGACGTAACACGCGGCGAGAGCCGAAACCGGTGGGAGGTCGAGAGGAGGGGCGAGAGGATGTTGCTGAGGTAACACGACATTTCGAGGCCGCACGAGAAGCACGATAATCGCAGCGCGGGAAGGCGTCGATCGCAGCAGGCGCATAAAGGAAGAATCGAAGAGTGACGGGAGGATGGGTTTCCCTAGGAGAAGGTCTCTGTGGCTGAAGGTGGCAGTGCTGGCGACCGCCGTGTGGGTGACCGTCTGTTTCCTGCTCTACACGGAGGATCGGGCGGCCGCCGTTCAGGGATTGGCACCGTCGGGCGTCGCGATGCCGCAGCAAGCGGCGAACGGCTTTGTGCCGCCCGCGCCGCCGTTTAGAAAAGAGACGTCCGGCAATGTGGTCAACAACAAGATGAAAATCAATCAGGCTGGCCCCGAGCAAGGTAATTTTATTATAACAATCCTCTTTTTCTCTCCTTCTCGTTTGATCTATTTGAAAAATTTATTTATTATTTTTTTTTTTTTTTTTATTTCACGAATTTGTTGACATGATCGGCCGCTTTGCGATGCGGCTGAAGAAAATAAAAAAAATTCTGCCTTTATTTGGAAACGTCTCTCTTCCCGCTTCTTTTTTCCTCTTTCTTTGAACAGAAATTATCTTAATTACTTAAATGAAATGTATTGAGATTTAACATATAAATCAATTTTATCATCGAAAATGTAACAGCAAAGTAACATTCTTTATCTCTTGTCAATACAACATAGGTTATTATTATATGTGAGTTGCTACATGAATCACATCTGTTAGGAAACGGCTTAACAGGCGGACACCCTACACATACGGGGTTAGGTGCGAGTTAGGTCTTAATAAGCTGATAGATGTCCCTTCTGGAATGCATAGTCTGTGCATGAATCATACCCGAGAATGTTAGATTACTTCTCAAGCCACCTGTGGCTCAACGTGTCCGACATTTCGAGAGCATTTTTCAAATAATAAAGATGAAAGAATTTGTTACATATTAATTATAAATTTTTAGTAATTATTTAAAATATTGAATATGATAATTAAGCACGTGTTATTAATATGAGTTTTCTATATAAAATTTGCGAATATAAAAAATGCAGATGTTAACGAGATGTAAAATATAAGACACCAGCTATTTCAAATTTTTTTTTACTACGGATTTGCCATATAAATTCTATACAAATTTTGTCTAAATAACCAATTGTCCAGAGAATTATCCGCTAGGAATTTAAATTATATGCGAACAATTTTATATGAGAAAGAGAACAAAAATAATTGATTTTGAAAATGAAATTTTTTAATCTTTTTAACTTGATACTCGCATCGTTTATGCTTCTTGTGTGTGCGTGTCGGTCGCACAAAAGGACCAGGAAATAAAGGCAAACCTCGTGGAGAGGAAGAACATAGAGCGGAGATACGATTGTATACGCGAAGGATCCTCAAAGACGAAAGTTCGTCTTGTGCGCTGCCACGAGCGCAATAAGGAACCTTTGGTAGTTCATCCACCGCGTTCACCCTCTTATTGCCAGACGCAAAGTACGAATGAGGTTCTCGTAGCGCATGGATCATCCCGGCGATATTGTCGGCGTTTCACGCTAGCGAACAGCGCGATACACGATGTAATAGAGGAAGGGTCTTAAATGATGAGCTTAGGCGTCTCGCCGGTTGATGCCTCTCACGAGCTCGCAGGGAACTTCGCATGTTCACGCGCTCGGAATGACGTGCTAA